CACACACACACACACACACACACACACACACACACACACACACACACACACACACACACACACACACACCAGTGAAGCATGTACCATTCAGAGGCATAATAAAAGGCAATGTTGAGTATTACTCACTTGCCAATCCCATGGAGCTGAGTGACGTCTGTCCAATCGCCTCGCAAGTACTCCTCTGAGAAACGCTTGATCATTTTGGCTCTCTTATTATACAGCCCAAGGGATCGGATCACATTTGCAATATCTGCTTCTGATGCTGCAATAGCTGCTTCTGGTGTCGGTATTAATTCAAACAAGTCCCAAATCACTTTGTGCATCTGCATCCATCACCACCCCATGGCGCAACCGTCATTAAGACTAACTTTGTTAGTACATGCTCGAAAACCAGCCACAGTCGGACTGCAGGAACGAAAACAGGCGAGGAGAGGGACAAGAAGGGCAAGGATGAGAGGGGGGGGGAGGGGGGAGAGAGAGGGGAAAGGAGGGATACAGAGGCAAGGAGAGTCCAGGGGAGGGAAGATGTGGGGTGAAGGGGGGAAAGGGGGAGGACGTGAAGAGTAGGGGAGAGGAGAGACAAGAGGGAGGAGGGGAGGAAGGGAGGGAAGGGAGGCGAAGCGAGAAACGGAGGGGAAGGTAGGGGGAAGGTAGGGGAAGGGGAAGGTAGGGAAGGTACGTGAAGATAGGGGAAGGGAGGAAGGAGGAAAAGAGGAGGGGAGGAAGAGAGGAAGGGAGGAAGGGTGGAAGGGAGCAAGGGAGAAAACGAGGAAGGGAGGGAGGGATGAAGGGAGGAGGGGAGGAGGGAGGAAGGGAGGAAGCCCATGCGCTCCACTTTTTTTTATGTAAGCCACACTTGAAGGATTGTTTTTGTTTTGTTTTCGTTTTTGTTCTGTTTTCATAAATGTTAGTCTCTCTTGTTTTGTTTTGTTTTTTTTTCCGTTTTTGTTCTGTTTCATAAATCTTAGTCTCTCTTGGAGTTCGTGCTGCAATCAGACTCGCAATCAGACTCGCAATCATTCACACTTCGCATGCATGTAAACAGGCAATACAGCAAACTGGCGACAAGCGCCCACTCAAAGCTCAGAGATATGGTAACCACGGACACAGTTCAGATACACTCTCGATTCAAATGGCTATGGCGCAACAGCGCCTGTACAACACTCTGTTCGTCACTGTGCCTCACTCTGCTGTACACGCACGCTCAACTCGGATCGCCCTGGATACCCCACACGCATCACTCTGCACACTCACACACTCACTAACTATGGCAGCTATGGCCGCCAACTACACTAACTACAACAGCTATGGCTGCGCTAACTCCCTTCAGCCCACTTCGACTTCAGGCTCCTCTGCAGACCACCTCGCACAAGTCACTGTGGCAGCGCTTCCACATGGCCTCCGCAGGAATGGATGAATGACTGGGCGCTGCCTCTTGCTTTATACTTCTGCAGCTCGTTGGTCTGGCCCTTTCCCATGCCCGTAGTGCACACAGTCCCATGCGGTACTTGCTTGACTGGACCAGGACTGCCTAGGACCGGGACTGCTGACTCAGCACGGGTAGACTATACCACTTGCCTCACCACTTGCCCACCTGCCTCAGCCTAAATGTGGGGAACTTCGAAAGGCCACTACTCAGACTTTCCGGAAGGCTGTAGACTTGGCCTTTCGATACTGTAGCAGCTACGACCTTGACACTGTAGCAGCTACGACCTTGACCCTTCGGGAAGTCTACAGTTACGACTTCTAGAACTCCCTTAGACTCCTATCCGACAGGTCTACAGATCAAATCCCCCGCAACCTATGGACCTAAAACAGTCTACCAACTGTTTGCGAATACACAGGTCACGGGTTCAAACACTCAGGGGTCAACTCGGTACTGTACATGGGTAACCTAAGGTCTGGGGATCGAATCCTGGGATCTGCATCTGCCTCTGCAAAGGTGAAAACCGTTTCAGTGCACATTCTATACTTCATGTATCTCCTCCTGCCCCCACTCCCCCTTCCCCTCCCCCACCCGCCTTCTGGTGATTCCCACCCACCGATCTACTGCACTCCCCAACCAAGCAGCAGTGGCCCTAAGTGAGAAATTGTTCACGGGAAACTGTTTGCACGATGCCCTCTCCCTCGTGCTTTGAAAGGACAAATATCCGGACGTACTCGCACTAGCACTTTCTTAAATGTATCTGACCCCAATTACGGGCGTACTCACACTAGCACTTTCTTAAATGTATCTGACGTGGATGCATCTGACCGCAATCATGTCCAGAGCTCAGTTAAAAAAGTCCTAGTGTGAGTACGACTTGATTGATAAATATATAAACATGTAGAGAAGGCAAACCATACTCCACTGCAAACATGCGTGTCCAGGGACCGCTCACGGCTTTTTCTTTCTTTCCCTTTTGTTCTTTCTCCCAAAACGAACGAAAACAAAAATAAAATCCTGAAGTCGATTAATGACAGGTAATGAGTGGTTTTGAAGGTTTTCTGCACTTTCTCTGCAGTTTCGTATACCTGGTGCCCTCCAGTCTTATGAAGCAATATGCAGGCAATCAGAACTTTCCATGGATCCGTGTAGAGTTTCTCCTGGATAAGGCAGTATGCCGAAGCGGGCGGGACCCAGTTTGGATTGACCAACGGAGCCTGCTGTGTTCCTTCGGCGACACCTGCATTGGCAGAGTCGGAGTGCGGCTGCCGATCCCGTAACTGCTTTTTCTCTTCCCTTCTCTTTTTCCTCCTCAGCTGCTGAGAGAGCATTCTCACCCCATCATCACTAGAACTAGCTGCCGAAATATGGTCGTAAGCTGTTGTCTCAAAATCAACAGGCATCATGCGTTCTGCGTTGTCGTGTAAAACATTTCCTCCACCAGGACCACCACACTCTTTCGGAGATTGCGTATCGACCTCCATGAATTCTCCCGAGAAATCAGCCACTTCCGCCGCATCATGTTGCTGGCCTGTCAGATTTCGAGACTGCACGTCTATTGCCCTTCGCATCTCGTACACACAGGACGCGGCCGGATCACATGGAGCTTGGACAATCTTCCTCCTCACTCGCCGCCGCCGTGCAGGCAACGGCTCGTCGCCATCAGAATCAGCGGCCGCCACAAAGGCAACTGCTTGAGCAGCTGCTGTCATGTTCTCAGAAGCGGTTCCCTCAACTTCCCTTGCGGCCGAGCTGGACCCCCTGCTGTGCAAAACATCAGTGAGCCTGCCATGCGGCAACTTCTGCCAGCTGGCAGACTTCGATTTCCTGCTCTTTGATGGCACTGCCTGGGTCTCGACAATTACTGATGACGACAACATAGGTGGAGGAAGCAAAGCAGCCTCAGCGAGGACGGGCATTGATTCCTCACAGGCGCCTCTGGTGAAATCCAGCCCTGCTTCTTCTGCGGCTTTTCTAGGACTTGCTGCTACAGAGTCCAGTGGAGCAATACCACTCTGACTTGCCAGTGGGTCCTGCGCTTCATCGCTTTGCAATTCATTGTCGCCACCACGATGGGGGGAACCAATGCCATTGCCACCATCATAACCATTTTCTTCTTTTGCTCCTGTCATTCTTTGCCGCCTCGGCCTTCTGTTCATTTCAACATCACCCCTGGAATCAGCAGCCGTATCCAACTGTGGAGCAGTTACGGGTGCGGTCATACTCTGTGAAGAAGCATAATCAAGACGAGGTTCATAGACTCCCCCACCAGATTTTTGATGATGGACGACACTCCCCATGGGTTGCTGCAAACCAGAAGAGACATGCCGGCACAGTGTACTCAACATATGAGGCTTCTTGTCCATGGGTTCAAAAGGCCCCGCTGTTCCAAGCAACTGCTGTCTTTCTGTGGGAAGACAGCCATTCGTCGACGACTCCTGCACGGGCTGCTTATCCCCAGTGATGGCAGCAGTATTTACAGGGTCTTCTTTGTCAGTACCAGTCAGTGTGGAACCCTCAGAAAAAGAAGCAACACGACCCGGTCGAGCCCCGCGTCTCTGTGCTTTCTGTGTTCTTCCCTTCACAGCCCCAGGGCTCTTCGCACGAACCCCGAGAACAACCTCGCCCCCCCGTGTCTTCCTCCTCTCTCTCGTTCTCCGCGTACCGGTTTCTGCATCTAGACCGCCATCCGAGTCAAGGGCTGAGATCAACGCTACTGCTTCTGCAGCCGGTGTAACTGTTTCTGCATCTAGACCAACGTCTGAGTCAAGGGCGGAGACCGAGGCTGCCACTTCTGCGGCCGGTGTCATTTTCACCGTCGCATCCCTCTGATCATTTTGCCGACATCCAAATATGCCACCGGACTTCCTTGACTGTGTCGTTCTCGTCCTGGAGCAGCCGCCGTTCAAGTTCTCAGGGCCAGACCTCATTCGAATACCCGCGGTGGCGCTGTTCCTAGTGCCATTCTTGGCTCCCTCGGCATTACCCTTGACTTCATCTTCTTTCCCTGTGCTGCCAATGCACTTTGCACACCGGCTTGACTGCGGCTTCGTCCGGGTTGTCGGCGGACCTCGCATCGACGACGCACTTCGATGCCCATCTGCATCTCTGTTCACGGGATTGCGAAGACTCCTCCTCCTCGGTTTTCTCCTAATTTGATGGGTAGTTGTGGCTAAATCGATCTCACCGTTCCCATCGGACTCAATGTCCGCAACAAACGCCACTGCTTGTGCAGCAGGTGTAATACGCTCCGAGGAAGCAGAAGCTGAAGCAGAAGCTTCCCCGACGCCGGCGGCGTCGGCCCCCTTCTTTCTCCTGCGCCCCTTGGCTGCTATGGGCAGACTCGGTAGGAGTCTTCCTCCATCCGATTCGATGTCTGCGACAAGGGCTACAGCTTGCGCAGCCGGTGTAATCTCCTCTGCAGCAGTCCCTGCAGTCCGCCTTCCCCCCTTCTTCCCACGCTTGGGTGGTATGTACAGACTACCAGTGGTGGCCTGGCTCTGCCTAGCCCCTCGGCATGCTCTATAGGTGTTAGCCTGTTCCCTCCTCATCATCATCATCTTCGACGACGACAGTGTTTTCTGCCCATCCTTGTACCACCGATCTTCGCAGACTTCCTCCGCCTCCCTCAGCTTCGTCCTCCTCCTCCTCTGCTGATTCATTGTCTCCATATCAACGTCAACCTGACTACCGCCATCAGAATCAACGGCAGCGACAAAAGCCACAGCTTTTGCAGCCGGTGTGGGGGAGAAGGTACCAATGGCGTCTGACGCACAGACAGCATCCTCATCTAGCTCCAGTCTCGTCGCCTCCTCAGAGACCCCGGTGGGTCTCCGCTCCGGCTTCTCGAGTCCCGGCGATCTCCCCATCTCACACATTGCTAGACAACGCGATGCACAGGTTGGTTGCGTACCATTAGCCACGGGAAGGAGTAGACAGAGAGAATTGCCATCACAACTTTTGGTTCCTCGAGTTGTGGTCACCACATCTCAGAGACAATAAGAAGAAATCCTGTCTCTTTTCTCCATTTTCCTAAGCGGAATTAAGAAGACAAATTTCACTCCACCAACTCAGAAGGGACATCCACCACCACCCCATAGAATCAAGAAAGACAAGAAAGACAAGAAAGACAAGAAAGAACCTCCCTGTCTGTCCTTCTCAAAGACCAGAAGTTCTGCTTTCTAGATTTCTTGGGTTCCGGTGTATGGACGCTCTTTCGGAATGTCGATGGTTGAGATGGAGAAACTGGACCCTGGTTTGCGAAATCAGGTTGCACGAGTTAATACTTCTTTTTTCCGCATCTAGACCACAAACTGAGTCAAGGGGCGAAACCAAGGCTCCCGCATCTGGACGTTCTTTTGGGATGTCGACAGCTTGAGATGGAGAAGTTGGAGCCTCGTTTGCGAAATCAGGTGGTGCACGAGTAACTGTAATACTTTTCTGCATCCAACCGCAAACTGAGTCAAGGGGTGAAACCAAGGCTCCGCATCTGGACGTTCTTTTGGGACGTCGATGGTAGTAGAGATCGAGAAGCTGGACCCATGTTTGCGAAATCAGGCGCAGCACGAGTTAACACTTTTTTCTTCTCCTGCACACACTGTAGACGTCAATACATAAATCGAAAGAAATAACAAAAGGTTTGAATTTCCAGCACAACAACAAACTGGAGACTCGTAAAAAGGTGTCAATACGCAAATAACAATTTTATAATAATAGATAAATAAGTTGAAATAAGAAATTAGGACATTACTATCTAATACAGTAATACTTGAATAATAAAAAGAAAAGACAAAGGGTTTTCTTTTCCTTTCCTGCACAACAAACTGCAGAGAGAACCATGGTTACTTTTCATGCCCTCTTCTGCGCAGACTTCTACAGTTCTCTCTCCGTTTCACCCCTTTCCCCATAATTACGTACATATACAAGATTGACTTTGTTATAATCATCATTGACTTTGACTGCGATATCATATTCTACCCCCTTGTTTAGGGTTTTTAGGGTTTAGGGGCCTTTAGGTGTCCCCCACAGAAACATGCCCCCTATATTTTTTTTTATTTTTTCCCCTTACGGAAGTTACGGTGGATTTTTCAGTGTTGGACGGGCAACACAGTATCAAGGTGGCTACTCTGTTGCCCGCTCGCTTGCTTGTTGCTTGCTTGCTTGATTGATTGATTGATTGATTGATTGATTGATACATTGATTGATTGATTGATTGATTGATTGATTGATTGATTGATTGATTGAATGATTGATTGATTGTATTGTTGATGGGGTTCGCCCATTAACTGACAACCAACTAGTAGTGGAATACCGAGCTACCAACCCACCAACCAACCAAGTTGCATTTTACGTCACTCGACTCAATCAACGACTGAGAACCCAATCCAATCGAGAAGCGAATCCAATCAAAACTTCAAAAATGAAAGTTAAACCCAATCGCCGTCTGATCGCATCCCTAATTAATTGAGAATCCAATCGAAAGTTTTTTTTTTTCTTTTTCCGCATATACTCCTTTGACCAGGTAAGTTAGATGCATACTGCCGCTATTTGGACATCTCGTGAACCGAAATGGGCAGGCCCTACCGGGTTCTCGCCAAAACCGATACCGTATTGGATTTTCTTTTTATCAAATTAGGTGAACGCGCCTAAGTTAGAGAAACGGCGAACCGATTTTGAATTCGGTGGAAGCTTCTTGGATGGACCGGTAGAGTGGAATCGGGCGTGTAGTCCAAACGTTTTAGATTTTTGTAGCAGCTTCTTGGAACCGTAGATTAGAATTGGACACCTTGTGAATCGTTATGGACAGGTATTCTAGAAACTAGGACAACCCACTGTGCCTTTAGTCAAAGGACCGAACGATTTAGACTGACGAGCGCATAAATTGGTGGGCCCCATAGAAAATTGTGCATCACTCACGTGTGTGCTGCGCACGTCCACCTCGGGCGATAGTTTACGGGAGCTGCAGGCCCGTGATTCAGACGCATGTGACTAACATGCAAAATCGATTCCACTAAATTGATATCTTTGTTGGTCCCGATGGTGTGCGCAGAATCTCAAATTGGTCGAGTGTTGAGCTAAATGTGATGCGGTATTGGCAATACTAATTTGTTAAATCAATCTGCCTAACTCCGTCATGCGTCCAAACAGTTAAATCATTTTGTTCAAAATGGTAATCATTTATCCCAACCTATATGCAGTATGTCCAAAATGCTCATCGTTTCTCCCAACATAAATCTGATATGTCCAAAATGCTCAATACTTCTCCAAACCTATATCGGCTGTCCAAATCGGTTCGATAATGTACTAAATAGGAAAATTGAACTGACCAATTCGGTTTGATGATTGTCCAATTGAATTTTCGTTTGTCCAAATCGCTTCACCTTGATCCCAACTTACCTGGTCAAAGGAGTATTATATTAATTGAAATCGTTGACAATCCTATCGAAGTTAACTTTGATTCCATCCCCCATTTACTTGAGAATCCAATGGAAGTCCTTTTTTAATCGCATCCCCAATTAATCGAAAATCAAATCCAATCATAAAAAGTTAAATCCGACCATCAGAGTCAAATCCACTCATCATAAGTTAAAATCAAAAGGAAAAAAGAAAAAAAAAAGGTCCAATCAAAGTTTGATCGCATCCCACCAAACTATTCCCTCATCAATTGACAATCCAATGAAAGTTCTTTTTTTTTCTTTTCTGCATCTATTTTTTTTATAATTAAAATTTAGAATCTTGTCGTCGAAGTTTGATCGCACCCCCGAGTAACTGGGACTGGCGACATTACCAAATGATGAATTGGTCCTTTCCATTGTTTGTTCAGCTTGGGCCTACCTCTCTACGCGCCTCTCTTACTCTTTAGGCAATTGTGATATATATTATAATCCCGGACCCATGTACCTACCTTCCCACGCCTTCCCAATAAGGAAACTCAAATTCATTGCTTGGCGCAAAAAGAAGTAGAAGAAGTAGAAGCAGTACAAGCAGAAGAAGCAGAAGAAGAAGAAGAAGAAGAAGAAGAAGAAGAAGCAGAAGCAGAAGCAGAAGAAGAAGAAGAAGAAGAAGAAGAAGAAGAAGAAGAGTGCCAACAGTGGCCATGAACTGCTCGCACATGCTTCAACAAATAAGGAAACTCAAATTCATAGCTTGGCGCAAATAGAAGAAGAAGAATTGAATTGAATTGAAATAGCAAGGCCAATCGCTATGCGTCCATGCTTTCAACGATAAGCGATGAAGTTCCTACACGGACTTTGTGCTCAAACGCGCACATTCCCCGACGCGTTTCGCCTGGCTGCGCACCAGGACTTGTCAAGGGGCAACCACACTCCCGCATCCACTGAAGCAATCCACCCTGAGCAAAGAGGACCTTTCTGGCCTTGTCCTCCCGAGATATACAGGAACCCGACTGTAACTGACTGGTTGGTTCACGGCTTGCCTCGCTTGCAACTGACTCGGCGTGCACTCACGCTCGCCCCTTCTTCCCACCTACCTCACGTGCGCACCCTGCGTGCGTCAGAACCTCGTACTGCACGTGCACCGGTCGGTGGTAGGGACTCACTCGCTGCGTAGTCGGCCTTCCTGGGCCTTAGTCTTCCTCTATACCGGGTCACCATCTCCCGATAGATATTAGCCAGTCTGAAACGTCCCTTCCGTTAACCGGCTCCAGCTGCCGGTCTTAGTACCAGTTGCTTCAACCCTGCCCTCCCTACTTCCGCTAGCACTCCCCTGGTTGGCCTGCTTCCTTTCCCCGTGCCTACCCTTCACCTCGCCTCCCCACTGCTACCAGCTACAACTACCTGCGGCCACTGCTACTACCAGTTCCTGTTCCTCCCCGATAGACTCTACTGTAAAACCCAGCCTGCGGCTCTATAAGCTGGGAACCCTCCTCCCTCGCTAACTAGTGTACAACCTACTCGTCCAGCCCCACCCATTTCACTACCTGCAATACTACTTTGCCACTCACCGTTCCAACCCCGTTCCTAGTCATTGCCGGGGTATTCCCTTCACTTGCCTAATGTACAACCTGGCTCTACCCAGGCCCCCTTCCCCCCACATTCTTAACCTACTGCGTTGTCCCTACCTCCACTGCACCTGNATTCTTAACCTACTGCGTTGTCCCTACCTCCACTGCACCTGCCCGCTGTTCTGTCCTGTGTACATTTCGGGCCCCGGTATCGAGCCCCACTATACGGTATACTTCCCTTCCTTCCTCCCATCGGGGTCCTCCTTGCATCAGTTTAACCGGCTGTTCGGCCAGCGTCTTCAACGCTGCTCCGAACGGGCCAGTGGCTCTGGCAAATACTGCCAGAGCATTGGAAAAGAGCGCCGGGGGATACCCCCCCCGCCCCAGCTCGATGCTGACGGATAGTGCCGCTTGTACGCCTGTCTCCGGGTCACTAGCGTGCTGCATGATCCTGTGAAGTGCTGCTATCACTGTGCCCACCGCCCGCTTGTCTGAGTAAGATGCAAAATCTTGGAAACATCTGAAGACAAGTGGGTCATCCGCCATTGCTACCTCATTCTTATGCTTGGGGCGAAGGACAAACTTGATAGGTCCGGGCAGCACTGCGGCTCGGATCCCCAAAAAATCCCAAGAGTTGGTGCCGTCGTCTGTTCTCACTAGCACCAGCTGTTCTCCATACGCCTTCGCAAATTTCTGACATATGCCCTTCGCTGTTGATATACTCCAATGATCACTCATGTCACACGCAACCCCCAGCATGACATCATCAACTAGCCTGACCCCATGTACCAGTCTCTGGTCAGCCCCCAGGGAGTTTATGAAGTCCACCTCATGCTTTGCACACAGCACACAGGCCAGCGAAGGGCTAGAGTTCTTCCCCATAGGGATACCCACTACTTGTTTAAGTATTCCCAATTACTGTAATATTGGGGAATTAATGGGGGGGGATACGATAAAAAGAACGATAGAATTTTCAATTTTAATTATCGAGGCAATCAAATCAAAATTTAATTGGATTCTCAATCAATTCCGGCCGGATGCGATCAAACTTTGGTAGGGATTTCACTTTTGATTGGTTTTATCTTTATTGCGATTGGATTTAGCTGAAGACGACTGGATTTGACTTTTCCATTAATTGGCAATGCGATCGACATTCAACTGAATTCACATTCACTTCTTGCCTCCAGGTTCACGTTGCCCCTTTATCAAAGTGTCGCTATTTTACTATTTTCTATTCTATAATTTTTCTATTCCTGCTGTTTGCCTTTGGGAACAAAAGAAAAGAAAAGCAACGAATTGTTGGCATCTGTTGTCCAACCCACCATACTTGCATACTCTGGAGTACTCACCCGATTATGCACGATAGATAGACATCTCTATTTCTTTTCCGCTTGAAAAAGGGGGGGGTCTTCTATCTTGGGAGAAGCCCCCTAAAGAGTGTGCCAGGAGCGCAACCTGGTTCTTCGATCTTGGGAGAAGCCCCCTGAAGAGTGTGCCAGGAGCGCACCATGGCCGAAAGGCGTCGGGGAATGTGCGCGTTTCTGCTGAGAACTGTGCATGCGGAGTGCTATTGCTCGGATCTGTTGAAGCATGTGCGAGAAGCAGTCCATGGCCACTGTTGGCACTCGGGGAATGTGCGCGTTTCTTCTTCTTCTTCCACTATTCTTCTTCTTCTTCTTCTTCTTCTTCTATTTCCGCCAAGCTATGAATTTGAGTTTCCTTATTTGTTGAAGCATGTGGGAGCAGTCCATGGCCACTGTTGGCACTCTTCTTCTTCTTCTTCTCGAAACAATTTTTGATCGCACTCCCAAGTAATTGAAAATTCAATCCAATCCAATCCAATCCAATCAGAGAAAGCAAATCAATTCAGATCACATGCGATTTGATTTTCATTCAACCGGATTAAAATAAAATTAAAAAGGGAAATTTTTCGATATGCCCCTGAAAGTTCAATAAATTTGCCCCGTGCCCCTCCGACGGCTGACTTACCCTGCCGTGCCCCTGGGGCCTCTGAACTTTCCTGCAGGCCCCTCTCTGTGAGGGTAGCAACTTTCCAGCATGCCCTGTGGCCGTTGGTGGCACACGTGATCGTTCCCCTGGCTCTGGGAGGGGAGCTACCGGGGCATACTAGACATTTGGAACCGGTACCGATAGGGGTATGTTGAACATTTTTCAGGCCCAAATGACACCAGGGTTTTTTCTGAAACTCCAATCTCTGTCAGAGGGGCGCTGCAGGGTAAGTCGGCCGTTAGAGGGGCACGCTGCATATAAATCGAGCTTTGAGGGGCATATCGAAAATTTTCCCAATTAAATAAAAACACCGACGACGAATCGAAATGCAGTTCGAATTGACCCAACTCGCGTTGATGTCCAACAATCAACAAACGGATCCACCACGCACCCAAAAAAAAAAAAAAAAAAAAAAAAAGAGAGAAAGACAAAGAGAAAAAAAAAAAAAAAAAAAAAAACATCGATGAAAGAGACCGGTCGACAATGGATATGAATCGATCTCTTAAAAATTCGTAGATCCCCCGCCCCTTTTGTTCTTTCCTTTTTTTTTTTTTTTTTTTTTTTTTTTGGACGACAGTCGTGAGATCTAGCCACAGGTGAGCGCCCCCAGGTAACTTCAAGATCAATGGTATTACTATTCGTATTATTGTAGATTATAGCAAACTGAGAACTACATAATCTAATACACTTCGGTCATAAATGATTTTAAACTAAAAAAAAAAGAAAGTATCAAATCAACTGATCATAGCCACGTGAAGGGCGGTGAGCTCCCGCCTTCTGCAACCACTCCCGCACCACTTTTTGTCGTATTCGTCCCTTTCTTTTCAGAAGAAGAAAGGTAATCTAAGAAAGACATCCCTCCGCCTCCGACTTCAGGCACCGTACCTTGCCATCATTACCATCATCATCACAATCATCATTAATTACAATCATCATCATCATCATCATCATCATCATCATCACCATCATCATCATCATCATCGTCATCATCATCATTCGTTGCAATCGTTCATCGCCATCTCTATCACCATCATCATCATCGACGGCATTCCTCGCCGACATCATCATCATCATCATTCAGCACTATCATTCATCGTCATCGCCATCATCATCATCACCTTTCATCACTATCATTCACCGCCATTATTGCCATAAACATCATCATCATTCATCGACATTGCCATCATCCTCATCATCATCATCATCATCACTCGTCACTCATCACGCATCACGCATCACTCATCACTCATCACTCATCACGAATCACTCATCACGAATCACGAATCAGGAATCACGAATCACGAATCACGCATCACGAATCATGCATCACTCATCACGCATCACTCGCCGCCATCATTAATCACCGTTCATAATCATTCGTCATCATCATGCATCATCATTCATCGCCATCGATCACCATGACACGTCATCATCCTCCATCATTCGAGGAGAAGAAGAAGGACGAGGAGGAAGATCAGGAGGAGAAGGGGGAAGAAAACACGACGACGACGAAGAAGAAGAATAGAATTGCATCCACGAGCGGCTCAAAGAATCGAACTACCTCCCGCAAGAAGAAGAAGAAGAAGAAGGAGAAGAAGAAGGAGAAGAAGGAGAAGAAGGAGAAGAAGAAAGAGAAGAAGAAGAATAAGCATGATGCACTAGATAGAACAGGTAAAACCAGCTATGGGGCGGTGGTGCTATCACCGACAAAGGGTTCACCTGTCCTATACAATCATCTTTTTTCTTTGTCTTCTTTGATACTTTGTGGGAGGAGCCCTGGGGCATTATTGCACTACTCGAGTTTACTCCCCATTTCTCCTCACTCCCGTAGAAATCAGACCACGGGAGTGTGACTTGTTGCATGTGATCGATACACCTTCTCTAAAGTTTACCGACTGACGTTTGTCATAACTTGTGAGAGACGTCTATTCTTGTTGGATGTATGAGAACAACTCACCCCTGTCCTTTACTGAAATTGTCATCACTTCCCTCGTGCAGTAGTGGCTATGGTTCCCTCAGTCGTGATGGGGGGGGGGAGCGTGTGTTGGTAAATTTGTCGTTCCTGCCAGTGCTGGTGAGGCGGACTGCTGCTCCCCAGAACGGAAGAGGCGTGTCTTTTCTGAGGGGGGAAAAAAAGGTGGGGAGGGGGGGGGGGGGGGGGGGGGGGAAGGGGGAGGAATCAACAGAAAAGTTGAAGAAACACACCATAAAGCAGGCTGGCCTAGGTCCTTTTCGAGTTTTTCTCGTGTCGAAAGCGCCATATACTAACAATGGTAGCTCCAAAAAAAGGGAAATTAAAAAAAGAAAAAAAACCTGCACTTCACTCACCGTCATCACCGCCTACATTGGCGTTGACGTCAGCAAGTTTTCTGAGAGAACGCCACGTGGCAAGAAAGTGGCAAGAAACTGTTTGGCCCCCACAGCTTAACGACCACCTACCTACCTACAGAGTCCAGACCATACAGATTGTCGTACACAGCGGAAAGATTGCGAGATCGACGGATTCGGCTGACAAAAAAGACACATCTTCTCGTATCGTATCGTATCGTACCACCTATCTGTCTGGTGAATACGTTTCCCTTCTTTTTGGCAAGGTGTTGAAATACCCCTAAAGTTTGGGTATTCCGTGAGATACCCCTAAAACACAGTGTTACGCTGAAATGCAATAAACTTCTGCATCGGCCCCTGTCACGCTCATTGGCAACTTCGCCGTATGCCCTGGCCCTGGGCTGCAACGGGGCCATGCATTTCTTTTGCAGCCTGCAGGGTCCAAAGACCTAAAATACTGGGGCATATAGACAAGTTGCCAAGAATCTGGTAGGGGTATATGCATAAGATGACAGGTCCAATTGGCTACTGGGGTATTTCGCAAAGTTTCACTACTGCATTGGGGCATTTCTCCAAACCCATGCCTTTTAGGGTTATCTGATGAAGTACCCAAACTTTCAGGGGCATGTCAACAATTTGGGTTTCCAACGAGGTTCTTTCTTTTTTTTTCTTTTTTTTTGCTTTTTTGATAAAGCCCAGGGTGTTGTAGAGGCCAAGGACCAGACCCACAGTGATTGCTGGCAGCGGCAGCCAATGGTTGTTCTGACAGGATAGGCCACCTACCCTACCCAACCCCCCTGTCCCTACCATCCTACCTCAGTGTGACCAGCACTCAGGACCATCACCGTACCAGTATCGAGGGCAACTTGGACCAGACAGCAGTGACAGGCACCAAGGCTGGGCCAACCCCCCAGCCCTAGTGGAATCGGAAGCAAACGAACCTTGCCATACGGGAACTTCGGACACCAGGCTTTTACAAAAATGCAAGGGGGATCCTTCAGGACATCCGTTCAAATTGGAACTATACAGAGAAGATTAGCATGGCCCCGGGGGCTAGGACCCACTAGCAAGTAATACCACGACTCCGTCAGGATTTCGATCATGTGCGGCCTCGAGTGACGCAGTAGGGCTGTTGACTAAATCAGATCTCGACGGCCTGGTAGTTTCCGAGCGGGGACTATAAAGATGCCCACCTCCCGTCCATTGAGAAGTGATGCATGGAAAAACCAATTTGCACATTATAACTCATGGTTTTGCATGGGCGGGAAGTCTCAATTTTATGGATTTGAGAGAGGGGGTGTGATTTTGAGACTTAGTTTTTTTTTTTCTTTTTGCTCTGAGAAATCGAACTTGAAATATGACATTCAAATATTGTGGTGGATCTGACAGAAAAACGCTTTTGCGTCTGTCGGATGGCCTATTAGAGGCATCATGAGTTACATGGTGATGAATGTATCCCCGTATCTGTTACTTGTTCATCCTCGTGACCGTGTTCGTTGACATATTTTATTGTCACGGTACATTATTACTATAAAGACTGACATGAAAGAGATCCTACCAACCCATGAATTCAGGTGCACAACTGTACTATTTGTTTTATGTGTCAGAGATACACGATTTCAAATCATTTAAAGAAAGAAAAAAAACAATTCATTTATGCGAATAAAATATTACTTTGTTTTAAAAATATATATATAAAATGCGTCACACACGTAGCATTACTTTACTAGTGAGTCCTAGCCCCTACTCAAGGATGGCAGACATAAATCGAGAAATGGTCCAAATTAAAAAAAAAAAAA